TTAGTTGCCAAATTATTAAATGAAGAGTTTAGCACGAGCAAGTTAAGCAGCGAAGTACGTATTCAGCACGTTAACTGCTAAACTTTTGAATGTGCTTAGCACCTCGTCTAAATGCATGTACAATGGTGACATATGAACACAGATGCTCCATAACAAAAAGTAGTTTGAGACATCTACTCTCTTTATTTTTATATACAAGGTCATTATGAAATACACATTTTGCATCTATACAAGGCCACAAACAGTAATCGAGGCAAAATTAATGATATTTTCTCATACTAACAACCTGTTTGATACTTGTATGCATGCAGTCATAATGACAGTCGGCTACTTCCTTCACTCATTTTCTTTGCATGCATACGAAGTATTAATGATCCTAGTAAACAAGAAAAAAAGTTGACTTGTAAAGCAGGCATTAAATTTTATGTTGGTATCTGTAATCCGAATTTGTGGACTTGTATACAAAAATGGAGGGAGTATGTTAATTTTTTCTCCCCAATGCAAGCTACCACTAGTGGGCCTCATCAAAGAATAGAAAAGAGAAAAGTATATTTTTCATCCCTCAATTCTCGACGGAGTCTAGATTTGGTCCCTCAACTTCAAAACCGGACAACTTGCACCCTTAATTTCTAAAACCGGACAAGATTCATCCCCGGTAACGGTTTTGACCGGTTTTGGTGCTGTCCCACCCCGGTTTGACCGTTCCGACTCAAATTTGGATACCTTTTCCAAGTCCACGTGATGTTTTCAAATTCGGTTATTTTTTCAAATACGTGAACCTTTTTAAAAAATTTGTACTTTTTTTAAATCTGCGTACTTTTTACAAGTTCATGTACTTTTTCAAATATGCGTATTTTTTAAAGTTCATTTAGTTTTTTAAGTTCATTTAATTTTTTAAAATTGATGTACACTTTCAAATTTGAGTACATTTTATTGAAAGAGTTCATGAATTTGAAAATTTATGCGAACTTGAAAAAAGTACGCGGATATGGACTTCTTTTACACAAAAATATGTGGATTTCAGAAATTGTTTCATCTTGAAACAAGTATGTGAATTTCAAACAAAGTTCATGGATTATAAATGGAACACGGATTTGAAAAAAAATGCGGACTTTGAAAAGCATGTGGATTTGAAATAAGTATGCGAATTTCAAAAAAAGTTCATGGCTTTGAAAAATACTTGGATTTGATAAAATTACACAAACTTGGGAAAAATATGGGGATTTGGAAAAGGTACGTAAATGTTAAAAAATCACGGATTTGAAAAAAGTATGTGAATTTTAGAATAGTTTGCTGATTTGAAAAAAGTATGTTTATTTTTGAAAAAAATATGTGACCTTGAAAAAACTATGCGGAGTTGAAAAGTGTACGTGGATTTCAAAAAGTTCACGGATATAAAAAAATTACAGGAATATGAGTGAGCACGGGTCAAAACCGGGGTGAGTCAACACCAAAACCGGTCAAAACCGAGTCCGGGGACGAACCTTGTTCGGTTTCGGTAGTTAGAGGTGCAAGTTGTCCGGTTTTGAAGTTGAGGGACCAAATCTAAACTTCACCCAGAGTTGAGGGACAAAAGGTATACTTTTCTCAATAGAAAATAAAGACTTTCACTAGACATGCATCTCTATTCTCAACTTCAACCTTTTTAGCTTTATGCATCGGACCACACTTTTTCTCTCAAGCACCTGCCTCTTGCAGAGAATTCCGTTGCTTCATCCAAACATGTTTTTTTATCCAATCCTATGTGGCCTATGGAGCATTCTTGAGGCTATGCATTTTACATGCCTAAGCACTTAGACCGTGATGATTTTTATTGTCGAGGATTATGCGCCACGGTGATTTTCTGGAGAAAAGATTCCTGTATGGTCCTACGCTTTTGAGAATCCCATGTGCGCAGTCTCAGTCCTCACTACTCATCTCCGGATCAGATCTGGAGCACAAGAACCACTGACGACGAGAGCCAAGAGGAAAGGCAACCCCTCAGATCTGGAGCTGCCCGTGCCCTGAGCTCCTCGCCGGTGGTCGGGTAGAATATCTTCCTTGGGCGGCAGCGACGACGAGCCCGCCCCGGAGGTTGGGGCGGCGGGGGCTCAGACGAGCTCTAACTGGCGAGCGGCGGCGGTGAAAGAGGATTTGCATGCGAGTATCCGACAGTTGGGATCCCATTGTTCAGGTTCATGATTCAGGTTCAAATCCACTCCCTTTTCTTTTTCAAGCACAGCTACCATGAGATTCAATGATCTGATTTGACTGATTTCAACATGGAAGATGCAGTCAACGGACGCACGTCAAGAGTAAGGGCTGCAACCAGAAAGGGAAATCAGTCCTGGGTGTGGCTAGCAACTTCAGAATTGAAAATGTGATTTAAGTTCTTTCCTCTATAGATAGAAAAAAAGAAGGAAACTCTGTCCTGGTTGTGCTGCTGCTGGGTGCATGGAGGCAGCAGTGGTGAGCGTGTCGCGGGGCGCCATAGGCTTCGTGATTGCGAAGCTTGGCAATCTGCTCGCCGGCAAGTACAAGCTGCTCAAGGGAGCCAAAGGAGAGATCATGTTCCTTAAAGCTGAGCTCGAGAGTATGCGAGCATTCCTGGAGAGGATGTCGGAGGCGGAGGAGGAGCCCAACAAGCAAGCCAAGTTATGGGCGAAGGAGGTGTGTGATTTGTCCTATGACATCGAGGATAGTGTTGACGAGTTCATAGTCCTGGTGGAATGTGAGTCCGACTGCGAGCCGCATGGATTTAAGGGATTCATTCAGAGGAGCATGAACTTGTTGACGACGATGAACACTCGGCATAGGGTCGCGAAGGAGTTCCGAGGCCTCAAGGGCCATGTCATGGAGGTGAGCGAGCGACGCATGAGGTACAAGATTGATGATGCTGTCTCAAAGCAAAACAAGACAACCATAGACCTTCGCCTCCTGGCACTCTACGCAGACACTGCGGGCCTTGTGGGTATCGACGGGCCGAGGGATGAATTAATTCGGCTGATGGCGAGTGAAGAGGGTAGTCCTGCGCAACTGACAAAGGTCCTCTCCATAGTTGGATTCGGAGGGCTTGGTAAGACTACACTTGCGAACCAGATTTACCACAGGCTAAAGTGGCAGTACCAGTGTCAAGCTTTCGTTTCTGTGTCCCAGAAACCAAACATAAGAATGATTTTGAGAAGAATGCTCTCTCAAGTCCATGGAGTGCCAGAGGGAACCAACATGGAAATATGGGCTGAGGAGGAACTGATCAGTGAACTCAGAGAATTCCTTATAGATAAGAGGTACGCCTGTTCAGAATTGACTGTCATCCAAAGTAATTTGTATTGTTTGGTCTCGCATCTGTTCTTTTTATCTTGCTAGTAC